TTCATCTCGGTTGGAGGTCTACATGTATTTACTACAGTAGCGAGTAACCTACTGTATCTTACAACATGTGTATACGTCCTGACAGTGTTCATCTCGGTTGGAGGTCTACATGTATTTACTACAGTAGCGAGTAACCTACTGTATCTTACAACATGTGTATACGTCCTGACAGTGTTCATCTCGGTTGGAGGTCTACATGTATTTACTACAGTAGCGAGTAACCTACTGTATCTTACAACATGTGTATACGTCCTGACAGTGTTCATCTCGGTTGGAGGTCTACATATATTTACTACAGTAGCGAGTAACCTACTGTATCTTACAACATGTGTGTATACGTCCTGACAGTGTTCATCTCGGTTGGAGGTCTACATGTATTTACTACAGTAGCGAGTAACCTACTGTATCTTACAACATGTGTATACGTCCTGACAGTGTTCATCTCGGTTGGAGGTCTACATGTATTTACTACAGTAGCGAGTAACCTACTGTATTCTTACAACATGTGTATACGTCCTGACAGTGTTCATCTCGGTTGGAGGTCTACATATATTTACTACAGTAGCGAGTAACCTACTGTATCTTACAACATGTGTATACGTCCTGACAGTGTTCATCTCGGTTGGAGGTCTACATGTATTTACTACAGTAGCGAGTAACCTACTGTATTGTACAACATGTGTATACGTCCTGACAGTGTTCATCTCGGTTGGAGGTCTACATGTATTTACTACAGTAGCGAGTAACCTACTGTATCTTACAACATGTGTATACGTCCTGACAGTGTTCATCTCGGTTGGAGGTCTACATGTATTTACTACAGTAGCGAGTAACCTACTGTATTGTACAACATGTGTATACGTCCTGACAGTGTTCATCTCGGTTGGAGGTCTACATGTATTTACTACAGTAGCGAGTAACCTACTGTATCTTACAACATGTGTATACGTCCTGACAGTGTTCATCTCGGTTGGAGGTCTACATGTATTTACTACAGTAGCGAGTAACCTACTGTATCTTACAACATGTGTATACGTCCTGACAGTGTTCATCTCGGTTGGAGGTCTACATATATTTACTACAGTAGCGAGTAACCTACTGTATCTTACAACATGTGTATACGTCCTGACAGTGTTCATCTCGGTTGGAGGTCTACATGTATTTACTACAGTAGCGAGTAACCTACTGTATTCTTACAACATGTGTATACGTCCTGACAGTGTTCATCTCGGTTGGAGGTCTACATGTATTTACTACAGTAGCGAGTAACCTACTGTATCTTACAACATGTGTATACGTCCTGACAGTGTTCATCTCGGTTGGAGGTCTACATATATTTACTACAGTAGCGAGTAACCTACTGTATCTTACAACATGTGTATACGTCCTGACAGTGTTCATCTCGGTTGGAGGTCTACATGTATTTACTACAGTAGCGAGTAACCTACTATATCTTACAACATGTGTATACGTCCTGACAGTGTTCATCTCGGTTGGAAGTCTACATATATTTATTACAGTAGCGAGTAACCTACTTTATTGCACAACATGGGTATACATCCTGACCGTGTTCATCTCGGTTGGAGGTCTACATATTTTTACTACAGTAGCGAGTAACCTACTGTATCTTACAACATGTGTATACGTCCTGACAGTGTTCATCTCGGTTGGAGGTCTACATGTATTTACTACAGTAGTGAGTAACCTACTTTATTGTACAACATGTGTATACATCCTGACAGTGTTCATCTCGGTTGGAGGTCTACATGTATTTACTACAGTAGCGAGTAACCTACTGTATCTTACAACATGTGTATACGTCCTGACAGTGTTCATCTCGGTTGGAGGTCTACATGTATTTACTACAGTAGCGAGTAACCTACTGTATCTTACAACATGTGTATACGTCCTGACAGTGTTCATCTCGGTTGGAGGTCTACATATATTTACTACAGTAGCGAGTAACCTACTGTATCTTACAACATGTGTATACGTCCTGACAGTGTTCATCTCGGTTGGAGGTCTACATGTATTTACTACAGTAGCGAGTAACCTACTGTATCTTACAACATGTGTATACGTCCTGACAGTGTTCATCTCGGTTGGAGGTCTACATGTATTTACTACAGTAGCGAGTAACCTACTATATCTTACAACATGTGTATACGTCCTGACAGTGTTCATCTCGGTTGGAAGTCTACATATATTTATTACAGTAGCGAGTAACCTACTTTATTGCACAACATGGGTATACATTCTGACCGTGTTCATCTCGGTTGGAGGTCTACATGTTTTACTACAGTAGCGAGTAACCTACTGTATCTTACAACATGTGTATACGTCCTGACAGTGTTCATCTCGGTTGGAGGTCTACATGTATTTACTACAGTAGCGAGTAACCTACTGTTATCTCGGTTACAACATGTGTATACATCCTGACAGTGTTCATCTCGGTTGGAGGTCTACATGTATTTACTACAGTAGCGAGTAACCTACTGTATCTTACAACATGTGTATACGTCCTGACAGTGTTCATCTCGGTTGGAGGTCTACATGTATTTACTACAGTAGCGAGTAACCTACTGTATTGTACAACATGTGTATACGTCCTGACAGTCCTGACAGTGTTCATCTCGGTTGGAGGTCTACATGTATTTACTACAGTAGCGAGTAACCTACTGTATCTTACAACATGTGTATACGTCCTGACAGTGTTCATCTCGGTTGGAGGTCTACATGTATTTACTACAGTAGCGAGTAACCTACTGTATCTTACAACATGTGTATACGTCCTGACAGTGTTCATCTCGGTTGGAGGTCTACATATATTTACTACAGTAGCGAGTAACCTACTGTATCTTACAACATGTGTATACGTCCTGACAGTGTTCATCTCGGTTGGAGGTCTACATGTATTTACTACAGTAGCGAGTAACCTACTGTATTGTACAACATGTGTATACGTCCTGACAGTGTTCATCTCGATTGGAGGTCTACATATATTTACTACAGTAGCGAGTAACCTACTGTATCTTACAACATGTGTATACGTCCTGACAGTGTTCATCTCGGTTGGAGGTCTACATGTATTTACTACAGTAGCGAGTAACCTACTGTATTGTACAACATGTGTATACATCCTGACAGTGTTCATCTCGGTTGGAGGTCTACATGTATTTACTACAGTAGCGAGTAACCTACTGTATCTTACAACATGTGTATACGTCCTGACAGTGTTCATCTCGGTTGGAGGTCTACATGTATTTACTACAGTAGCGAGTAACCTACTTTTTTGTACAACATGTGTATACATCCTGACAGTGTTCATCTCGGTTGGAGGTCTACATGTATTTACTACAGTAGCGAGTAACCTACTGTATCTTACAACATGTGTATACGTCCTGACAGTGTTCATCTCGGTTGGAGGTCTACATATATTTACTACAGTAGCGAGTACCCTACTGTATTGTACAACATGTGTATACGTCCTGACAGTGTTCCTCTCGGTTGGAAGTCTACACATATTTACTACAGTAGCGAGTAACCTACTGTATCTTACAACATGTGTATACGTCCTGACAGTGACCCGTGAAGATCCGGGGTAGAATAGGTCTTCAGCAACCCATTCTTGTGACTGCTTGTCGTAAAAGGCAACTAACGGGATCGGGTGGTCAGGCTCGCTGACTTGGTTGACACATGTCATCGGTTCCCAATTGCGCAGATCGATGCTCATGCTGTTGATCACTGGATTGTCTGGTCCAGACTCGATTATTTACAGACCGCCGCCATATAGCTGGAATATTGCTGAGTGCGGCGTAAAACTCAACTCACTCACTCACTCACTCACGTCCTGACAGTGTTCATCTCGGTTGGAGGTCTACATGTATTTACTAAAGTAGTGAGTAACCTACTGTATTGTACAACGTCTGTATACGTCCTGACAGTGTTCATCTCGGTTGGAGGTCTACATGTATTTACTACAGTAGCGAGTAACCTGCTATATCTTACAACATGTGTATACGTCCTGACAGTGTTCATCTCGGTTGGAGGTCTACATGTATTTACTACAGTAGCGAGAAACCTACTGTATCTTACAACATGTGTATACGTCCTGACAGTGTTCATCTCGGTTGGAGGTCTACATGTATTTACCACAGTAGCGAGTAACCTACTGTATCTTACAGCATGTGTATACGTCCTAACAGTGTTCATCTCGGTTGGAGGTCTACATGTATTTACTACAGTAGCGAGTAACCTACTGTATCTTACAACATGTGCATACGTCCTGACAGTGTTCATCTCGGTTGGAGGTCTACATGTGTTTACAAATGTATTTTACGATCACATAATATTGGGGATCAATATATGTTTAAACTGTTCAGGACAGATCATGTTCAGGTTATCAAGAGTAAAGAATGGTGTGTTTGGCAGTTTTGACAATAATCCTACCAGTTATGGAGTAGAAGAGAAGTAGGCCGACGGAAGCAGTACAGTGGGACAACATCAACCCCAGGGACACCAGGTGTTCAGGGTGACTTGGCTGGCCCCTCTCATCGTGTCCCAACTACGTAGATCGATGCTTGTGATGTCAGTAACTGAACTGTTGGTCCGGACAGACCGCCGCCATATAGCTGGAGCATTGCTGAGTTCGGCGGTAAACAACAAACAAACAAAACAAACAAACAAACAAACAAACACATACTGAAATCCATGACCATGACAATGTACATTTAGAATACTGGGACCTTCATCATGCACAACATCTGTCATATGTTTCCTTTCAAGAACCTGTGTGTTTCGTAACTCTATTTAAATTAAAAAAATTACTTTCTTTTATAAGATCATTTGTCCCTGGCAGTAAAAGCAAAGTATACAAGCCGTGTGTGTGCGTGACTGTACCATATTTGCGTGACATGCATGTAAGAAACGCTGACTCATTCTGTGTAACAGAAGTCCGACCCCTGTCTGTCAATGTAGAGGGTATTAACAGACACAATTACAACATCTGATAATATATTGCTCTCCGTAACCGTTGTAGTAGGGAAGGCCGCTATCTACTTGTGTTTCACGGCGTGGAGGGGGCGCTATAATAAGCCTGGATACCCTCCACGTTACGTGCCTCGGGTGTCCAGACTAGGGGCAGTTCATGTACCGCTACGGGCCTTCTAACATCGTATGCCGTGAGTACCCACAAACTGACAGTTTACATTTGCAGGGCAGCCAAAGAGCCAGCCAGGCCAGTGTCAAGTAACCTCTAAGGGTAGTACAACATAGTATGAAATAACATATGTACCTATACATAACATGTTTTATCTTTCAAAATAGGAATGTAAATGTCTTTTGTCAGCAACAGGTATTTATACATTTTATGGTGTTTGCTATATATTGATAACCATTAGAACCTTTAGTGTAAATATTACTTCCAAATACTAAGTTGTAAATACTTCGTTACTTACACTTACTATCACGTGAGCTGGGGTTGTTGAGAATATACGATAACCCCCACTCATTAATTATGTTGTGTATCCATAGTAGGCATGTTTTGGTTGTACAATGATTCATTCTGACATAATCATATAATATTTTTAAAAGTATCTTTGCATGAAAATAAGCTGCAGTCTTATGCCAGAATTTTATTACCCGTTAGCAAATATACTCTTAAAAATAGGAACGGACAGTCCAAACATAATGAAATGTATTAAACGTAGTTAAGTGTATATAAGTCGATTAAACTCGAACATAGATAAGGGAATTCGACACATGGATGAACATATGTATAGTTGTTATTACCAGCATTGATTCAGTTCACTCACTGCACGTGTGTGGACACAAGTGTGCGATCAGGTCAGTACCTGGTGACACCACCCCTTGCAGCCCTCACTGCTGGACATTCCCTTGGAAGGGATTGCACAAGTCGAGGGGTCGAGCGTTGTCGTGCTGAAAGAACTCTCTCTGGCGGTTAAAAAGTGGGAGGAGGTGAGGTTGCAGGATTTGGTCGATGTGCTGTAAGATTGCGTTGGAACACCACTAGCTCTGATCTGCCCGTGTAGGACATGGCTCCCCACACCATCGCTGAACCAGTCGCGTCGCCAGTTCCCCAGGTTCCATGCCTGTACCCTGTTGCACCATTGGACACGTCGTTGTCGACGTGGTCGTGTCGGTAAGGTCCAGCTTTTGGTCGATATCCTCGAGTTCCAACTTCTCTCAGACGATTTCTGATGGTTTGGTCTGAAATTCATCGAAGACCAGGCACCTGTTCCGCAGTGTCCGTTGCTGTGGCTACTCGGTGACGTAGGTGAAACACCCGGGTGAATCGGTTCTGAGGAGTGGTCACTCTTGGTCTTCCACTTCTGGGACGGTCTTGGGTCGGATTGAAACGGGTATATCGATGCTATAATCGAGATATGGTGCTGTGGTGGACGTTGAATGTTCTGGCAACGGCATACTTGGACTGCTTCCAAACGTTCAATGACGATATTTCGCAAATTAGCATTCAATATCTTCGTTTACGTCGTTAATTTCGTATTGAAATGATGAATTTGGCTTGGCCTTTTATAGTCGATGTCTCTACTCATGTTTACGACACATTGCGCGTGCATATCGTGGAAAAAAAATTCTGCTTGCACTTTTCATGTATCGTTTTATTTTTTATTACAAACGTTTACAAACAGTTTTGGGGATACGTTTGTGCGCAGTACACAACAACCAGGACATGATGAACGGGATTCAAACATTTGTCTTAATGGCGATTGCTGTCAAAATATATCGAAATGAACTGCTGAAAACGCCTGTGCGTTTCTTTTTTTGAAGAGTGTAGTTATGTTGGGAGGCCTACCTAGTTCCCCATAGATAATAAAATTTGGGTAAGAATCCCTTAAATCAGCTATTATTTTAAGGAAATGCAATTAAACGCGTTCAATAATGTAACTTTTCTAATCCCTATGTTTCTAATCCACTGTATGTGAGAATATGTAATACCATACTATCAAACGCTGAAATCAGACAGTCAGTTTGTAAATTGATACTCAGGCTTATCCCTGGAGACAAAACATAGCTATAGTAGTATTAGTGACAATGTATTGTTAGTAGTAGATTTAATCCCGCTTACCATCCGCCTGTCTCTGATGAACTTGATTCGCAAATACATATTACTATCTACCATCTCCAAATGTTTGCCCCCCCTACAAGAGTTGAAGCAAACTTTGTTAGCAGGGCCACTAAAAAACATCATAACCTTTGTTTTTGAAGTGTTAATGTCTAATTTCTGTTTGGTGCAATTTATGTTGAACTTTGTTGAGGGACTTTTACTAGGTAAGACTGTATCATCAACATATTGTAATGTAAGAAATTGTAACAACAGGGTTGTATTTTCAGACAGCCTTTGTCCTAACTTCACACTCTGAAGTTGTAGTTGATAGGGGTTTGTTCAAGATCATTTACGTGGAGGGAAAATAACAGCCCGGATAGAATCTCACCTTGCATGACCCTCCATACTTCAGCGAAAGCCTTAGTGAAATATATACAAACACAATACATTCCCGTGTGATGGCGTGATACCACGTTGTAAAACCATGGTGTGGAGGGGTCTTCTTGTTTTGGGATCTCACTGCTTACGGCCTGTGTCATTTCAAGGCCCAGGGAAAAGGACTCTACCCTTCCTGTCGACGTCACTCCACCCATCCTCTCGTCATCACTCTACCCATCCTCTCGTCATCACTCTACCCATCCTCTCGTCATCACTCTACCCATCCTCTCGTCATCACTCTACCCATCCTCCCGTCATCACTCTACCCATCCAGGGTACTCTAGATATTGATTGTACAACGTTCCCAGGTTACAAAGAAACGTTTTGGTCTCATCACATACACGCCGTGATCCCCTCTCTAGCTTCACATACTTGTGACAGGTATCATTTGGTTCCAAAACAGATAATTTGTCTATTGTGCCATATCCATTATTAAAACGTTGAAGGACACTGTCCTTTTTTGGTGTTCATTGTAGTCAAGACATGATCTTACAGAACAAGAACCATGCAGCTGTACCATCCAATCACTAAAACATACAACTTTGTAACAATTACCGTGGTGCTTAAATTTTTTCTAGGTGTATACTCTCCATATATGGTTTTCCGAACATTGTGCGTTACAGGCAGTTATTTCTTGTTTGAGGCGTGTATACAGACCTACTGGCGATGGGAATATGGCTTATATATACTTACGATGTAGTACTAGTACCAATGCTACTGCTCTTCCATCAATGTAGATGGTTTTCTACGCACTATTCTGCCTGGCCTGTGTGCTGCCTGTCTCGGTCCTGGGTTACCCTTCACAAGCAGGGACAGAGGCCTGTCTGGATCTCACTCCTCAACACGGGGCTACCGCCCAGGGTTCAACGTCACCTTACATGCTGTCCGTAGATGCAACCTCCGTCAAACAGGGCGGGATGGTTACAGGTAGGTGTGCTCAACTTTCTTCCACCTCTCACTATGAGTATATACAGTTCACGTAGGCCGTGACTTCAACAGGTCATCAGTGTACATAGGCCGTGACTTCAACATGTCATCAGTTCACGTAGGCCGTGACTTCAACAGGTCATCAGTGTACGTAGGCCGTGACTTCAACAGGTCATCAGTGTACGTAGGCCGTAGGCATCAGTTCACGTAGGCCGTGACTTCAACAGGTCATCAGTGTACGTAGGCCGTGACTTCAACAGGTCATCAGTGTACGTAGGCCGTGACTTCAACAGGTCATCAGTTCACGTAGGCCGTGACTTCAACAGGTCATCAGTGTACGTAGGCCGTGACTTCAACAGGTCATCAGTTCACGTAGGCAGTGACTTCAACAGGTCATCAGTGTACGTAGGCCGTGACTTCAACAGGTCATCAGTGTACGTAGGCCGTGACTTCAACAGGTCATCAGTTCACGTAGGCCATGACTTCAACAGGCCATCAGTGTACGTAGGCCGTGACTTCAACAGGTCACGAGTGTACGTAGGCCATGACTTCAACAGGGCATGGGTGTATGTAGGCTATGATTTCAACACCTACATGGGTCATGAGTGTATTTAGGCCATTGGCTTCAACAGGTCATGGGTGTATGTAGGCCATGAAATCAACAGGTCATGAGTCCATGTAAGCCATTACTTCAACATCCACACAGAGCTGAGTCTCTCCAAGTTTACCCATTTGTTTTGGTTGTAACATACTGTGTTTCAGTAACTCTAAATGCCACGACCGCCAGCGACACCTTCAACGGTTTCCTGGTCCAAGCCCGCTGTACCAAGTGTACCACTGCCGACACGGCCATAGTGCCCGGGACATTTGCCAAGTACACCGCCTCGGATGATACCATTAAAACAATGGACTGTGAAAATGATACCATGGTGGGTTTCCTTCCATCTTTACTTATTAGATTCTTATGGGTAGTTACGATTAACCGAATATACTGACCGCGATGGATGTATTGCTGGTTCTGGAATTGAACTATCTTCTGATTATGTCCATGCTTATTAACATTATAACTGATTGATTGATTCTTGTTTTACGCTTCACCCAGCAATATTCAAGTTATATGGTGGAGGTCTGTAAATAATCGAGTCTGAACCAGACAGTCCAGTGATCAACAGCATGAGCATTGATCTACGCAGTTGGGAACCGATGACATGTGTCAACCAAGTTAGCGAGCCTGACCACCCAATCCCGTTAGTCGCTTCTTGCGATAGGCATGAGTTACTAAAGATCAATTCTAACCAGGATCTTCACGGGTAAACACTATAACTAATGTCGGCAGCACGGTCCATGTAAGTGACAGTTATATGTCATCTATCCTCAGAACTCCATGAGTCACAACGGTAACGCTGCCAAGACGTCAGCTAAATTCACCTGGAAAGCACCTGCTGATTTCAATGTGGCAGAGGGCATTCAGTTCAGGTATGTTCAAATAGCACTGTACACGTGTGGTCGCGCTGCTTCGTGTGTACCACCTGACACAGAACTGAGTTAGGTAACATTACATATTTGGTCTGGTTAAATCCAGTTTGGGCTGGTAACATTTTGAAGTTACCAGCCCTGATGTCTGGCTGGGTTTTTGGGTATTTTCATACACTGATTACAGGACGCATGTTACTGAGATATTCCTAAATGACACATACATGTAGTGATACCCCGCTTGTTACATTCCATACCTATTCATATTTTCCAAACTCCTACACCATTATGAAAACACCCCAGTACACGTTGACTGTTGTAGTCTCGGCATTGTGGTCTGTCTTCTCCCACAATCGTATCTGAAACTGTGTATGGATTTCATTCTGAAGCATAGGTTCATGTATTGCATCAGGGAATTAACTGCATCTGCTTGATGTTCATGTTTCGCTTGCTATATATTCTGGTATTGTTTGTGTAGTGTTTAACGTCTCACTCAGCAATATATTCCAGCTATATGCAGGCGGTCTGTATATTATCAAATCGGTACCTGACAATCCAGTGATCAACATCATGAGCATCCATCTAGGCAATTAGGATACGAAGACATGTGTCAACCAAGTCAGCGAGCCTGGCCACCCAATCCTGTTAGTTGCTTCTTACGACAATCATGGATTGATGACGACCAATCTTGGCGGGTCTAATTTGGTATTCAATAAAGTCGGCCTTTAGTACGTACACCTCTGCGTGTTACTTAACCAAACACTGTCATAAATATGTAGTGATTGTTGTATTTGTCACACTCGCGGTGGTTACTCCCCTGCATATAGGAGTCCATCTTTGGGGCAGTCTATAATTCATGTCCACACAGAACTTTATTACCCTTAAGATAAATTTGTCCAATTCTGATTGGTCAAAAGCCAAAGCATACCAAACCATGGAGGCCGATTTGCCATGGTGTACGAATCGTACACCCCGTCAAATCTGTCATGTGACACACTACACGAGTTGTACGAATGACCTTGACCTTAGATGGAATGTGGCTCACTCTCCTACCCATAGTTCCATGCGGCAAGCCAGCCTAGTCAAGTCATCGCTGTGCCGGAGTGTGAATGTGGCTGCCAAACGACTGATCGCTTCGAAATTTTAGAGTTGGCGTATACAATTAAGTGTATAAACAGAGTAATAAAATTGTTGCCATAATTTCTTATTTGTTTGTGTCAATAAATATATCCAAAAAATGAAATGTTTCTGTACTTCACTTGTTTAACAAAATCTCAAATTCGATAATTTGTATCATAAACTAAGCCATCCCGAGTTATCTCCCTATATGACCGTTCAGGAAAAATCATGGCGTTCTAACGTTTTGCATCTCATTCTGCCGATGATTGAATGTTGTTGTTTAAAGATAAGTTATATAAAAAGCATACGTCACACGGTGTTTTGAAAGGGTATACGGGAATGTAAGACCCTTGTGAATTCCTCAGGTAATACGGAATTTACAAAGGTCTTACAGTCCCGTACACCCTTTCAAAACACCGTGTAACTAAATTAATAGCATATCTCGAAAATCTAACTTCGGGCCATTTAGGTAAATGTAATGGTCATGCTTGAATGTGACATTTCTATGGGTGTACGATATTTCAGGGCAACAGTTGTCCAGGTCAAGGTGACCTGGTGGGCCGATGTCACGTCGGATGAGATAACTGTGACAGCCAGCTCCACGTCTCAAGTTGCTCCAGTGCTGACCCTCGCCGTGGTTTCTTTCATCGCTGTCTCCTCTTTGTTGCTGTAGTTAATTAAATGAAACTGACTTAGGTCAATATTGATTGTTATTCTAATGAAAAAATGTTCAAACTATGTTTCCATATTGATATTAAGAAGTCTCAATATTGTGTGAGTATATGGTAAATATGACAAAGCATTTCAAATGTGACGGTTTGGTGTAGTAATGAAATAGCTGAAGTTTACACGTATCCCTTTACCTAGACTGTGTTTCACTCAATATTTTCTACTATTAGTTTGTTGACGTGTGTCATATGCTATTAAATAATCCAACCATTTCAAGAATATTATTTTGTAATTCTGTAAATATGTAAATACGACAGTGACAATTCGTAACTGCAGGGAATATTGAAACACACGCCCATTGCTCTAGAATCTCTGCTTTAATCGCCAGCGGATAAACATTTCTATTACGTCAACTATTGCTGACGGTTGATGTTGAATATCGTGTTTCCTGCTTGGCTGTGTGTTCACGTTGTCCCCCCAACCCGCCATCAACCGCGTTATGTACAACAATCATGGGAATCAAGTCGGGTGAAGCAGCCGGCAAATCACGGTCCGGTCCTGGGGATATCAACTGTCGCCTGTGTTTGAGTCCATGTAGAATCCTGCAGTGTGTTAGTGATACAACCCTGCCATTGACTGCAGTCCAGGCTTAAACACACATCGTCCCATAGCCTTTCCCACATATTCCAGCCTCACATCATCTTTCATGGTGTTTTATTTTCATAACACTGAGCAAAAAACAACCATAGCCTCTCAGTTGCTCTATTTTACCCTTACGTATTCTCACAGATAGTTCCCCATAACTAAAACATACAAGGCCTCTCGGTTGCAAATCTTCTGTTAGTTCACATGGCCTCACAGTTGTTTCCCGATATCTTTACACGACCTCTCAGTTGCTTCCCCATACCTTTACACGACCTCTCAGTTGGTTCCCCATATCTTTATAGGGCCTCTCAGTTGGTTCCCCATATCTTTATAGGGCCTCTCAGTTGGTTCCCCATATCTTTAGACGACCGCTCAGTTGGTTCCTCATATCTTTATATGGCCTCTCGGTTGGTTCCCCATATCTTTATATGGCCTCTCAGTTGGTTCCCCATATTTTTATATGGCCTCTCAGTTGGTTCCCCATATCTTTATATGGCCTCTCAGTTGGTTCCCAATATTTTTATATGGCCTCTCAGTTGGTTCCCCATATATTTATATCGCCTCTCAGTTGGTTCCCCATATCTTTACACGACCTCTCAGTTGGTTCCTCATATCTTTACACGACCTTTCAGTTGGTTCCCCATATCTTTATATGGTGTCTGAGTTGGTTCCCCTTATCTTTATATGGTCTCTGAGTTGGTTCCCCTTATCTTTACACGACCTCTCAGTTGGTTCCCCTTATCTTTACACGACCTCTCAGTTGGTTCCCCGTAGCTTTACACGACCTCTCAGTTGGTTCCCCATATCTGTATATGGCCTCTCAGTTGGTTCCCCATATCTTTATATGGTGTCTGAGTTGGTTCCCCGTATCTTTATATGGCCTCTCAGTTGATTCCCCATATCTTTACACGACCTCTCAGTTGATTCCCCATATCTTTATATGACCTCTCAGTTGATTCCCCATATCTTTATACGACCTTTCAGTTGGTTCCCCATATCTTTATATTGTCTCTGAGTTTGTTTCCAAAATATTTACACAACCTCACAGTTGGTTCCTCATATCTTTACAAGGCCTCTCAGTTGGTTCCTAACATCTTTATAGGTGAGGTGAGGTGAGGTGAGGTGAGGTGAGGTGAGGTGAGGTGAAATTGGGTTTAACGTCGTGCTTGAGAATATTTCGCTCATATGACGACGTGCCTGCGTGTGTATGTGTATGTGCGTCTGCTTGTACTAGCCCGTACTAGCTGGTTTTATAGTGCTAGCCCACTGAGATACCATGCCGCAGTGAAGCATGAGTACCCACACTCAGACACATTATACTGACTCCGAGCCGACCAGTCCTTGTTGTACCCATTAGTGCCGACCTCCAGACAGGGACCAACAAGTACCATATTTTAACGTCTTTTGGTATGACGCGGTCGGGGATCGAACCCGCGACCTTCCGCTCCCCAAAATCTTTATATGGCGTCTCAGTTGTTTCCCCATATATTTACATGGCCTCTCAGTTGTTTCCCCATATCTTTACATGGCCTCTCAGGTGTTTTCCCATATCTTTACATGGCCTCTCAGCTGTTTCCTCGTATCTGTCCATTGTCCCATAGTTAACTACATGTGACGACAAACACACGTCCCAATAGTCTATTCAATACAAGTGATCAGAACACATGCGGACTGCCATGGGAGTTTTGGGAGTGTTCTGATGTGTTGTGGGGTATTCAGGGTGGGTGAGCATCCCGAGGTCGGCGTGCTGTGTTATGTGATGGCGTGAGTTATGTCGGGGTTGAACGATTTCAGCGTTTCCAACATACGTTGGCCTCAGACTAAGAACATGTTAGGGAATGCAAGTCATCGTTGTTCCGCCGAGCGAAACAGATCACACGATCACTCGTGTTCATCAACCGTTAAATTCAAGCGTTGGGAATTCAAGCGTTCATGAATATATCCGTCAACCGGCTAGGTAGCCTGTTGAAGTCTGGGTTGGGAGATGACCTCACCGCCAAGGCTGGGACTGTTGCACTGAAGACTCGAGCTCAGTAAGCGGGTCTGTAGATAAGGTCAGTGTAATAATGCCTAGTATTTCGTATCAAACTAACTAGACGTGGCTGCACGACAACGTATCTGTAACATGTCTGAAGACAATACTTGTCTTGTAGTGTGTCCCAGGCCGTCCAACTAAATAGAATCATTCTGGGGCTGAAACACAATACAACAGTTTATATGATACTGCTTGACGAACTGTTGAGGTAAAAGTCGTCCCGAAATCAGTTCTCTAACAGTCAGTTATTTGGTGGAAGGATGTAATACTAGTACTTGTTCAATAAATCATCATCATCATCATCATCACCATCATCATCATCGTCATCATCATTTTTATTCTTAGGTCAAAGGTCAAAATAGAATAATTTTGCAATTTCGTGTACATGGCGGGTATTTATAATAATAGACCCTCGGGTTACATAACGTACGTTTCTCGGGAGACAAATAGTGAATGTGTGTCAGCAACTCCTTGATGGACCCCTGGAGTGTTGTATCCGTATACTTTCATATGGAATCCTAGACGGGACATTGTCTCGTTGTTGCCCTGACAGGCTAAACTTTGACAACTACTTTTCAATGTAATGATGTGTCGCATCGTACTATAACAAAGTTGACATCCATAAAGTAGCATGCGTTTCTTATTATTCATCAACTTCATAAATGCCAATTTAAAAGAAAACTAACCAAAGCTGACAAGATGCCCAATTAACACTAGTCTTGCTTATTAACAATGGGGAGCAAAGCTACAACGTCACATTTATCAAGATCGAAATTTGTGGCGTTGTTGCATAAGCCATTTCCAAGCTTTTTACCCTCAACAGCAACATCGCAGTAGTTAGTAACGATGTCACATTGTCGTGCTTGTATTTCGATTTTAAAATTGCTAACAAAGTATGATCTATATAATGATCGATGAATGTACCCACTGCTCGCAACAGTTACTACAGTGTATATACATGCTTACCTGACCTGCTTCGCTGTCTCTGTGCACTCTTGGGTCATCGGTTACCTGAAGGTTCATGTTGTAAATGGGGCGGTTGGGGTAGCCTAGTGGGTAAAGCGTTCGATGGTCATACCGAAGATCCGGGTTCGATTCCCCACATGGGTACAATGTGAAGCCATATTGCTGGAATATGGCTAGATGTTGGACTCGAGGCAGGTCACAGTCCAAGGCCCTTTGGTATTCGGTACTGGAGCGGTGGGGTAGCCTAGTGGTTAAAGCGTTTGTTCGCCACGTCGAAGACCCGGGTTCGATTCCCCACATGGGTACAATGTGTGAAGCCCATTTCTGGTGTCCCCAGACGTGATATTGTTAGAACATTGCTAAAGGCGGCGTAAAACCATACTCACTCACTCACTCATCGGTACTGGGCTGGGATCAATCGGCTTCAAAACGACCACAGGTTTCTGGACTCTTAGGGTCGCTTCGCTTCAACACAAATTGCTCGATCTGTGGGGAGCTCGAGCACACTCCCCTGATCCAATCCTCTCCGTAGTTCAGTTCACTCACTACAGACGTAAATGGCGAAAGGAAATGGCTAGTGAGTGAGTGAGTGAGTTATTATTTAACGTCACATCGGCAATATTGCAGCCATATCGTGACGAGGAAATGGCTAGGGACCCCGCGACATAAACGCTGGTGTTAATCTAAACAGAACACATTTAGACAGCTCGACTGCGTTGTTGCATTTTCACCCTTAGGTAATATCCCCAAACCATTACTCAAAGCGCGACTAAACGACAATTATTGAAAAACATTCTGGATTGTCGCAATGACGCGTTTCAGCGAATGTTGTCACTTTCCTAATGGGTTTGAAAGATCGACAACGCAGTATGTCCCTTCTAGACTTCCATAATTTCCCGACTTTCATGATCATTCGACAGAGTTGTCCTACTTGGACGCTACATAATTTATCAGCGACAGTTATACGGGATGGCTTCTCACTTGGTGTGACGGTTCAGGAGAGATTATATATATATTGCTAGTGTTTGTCAGCCACAAAGAGTAGCTCGATGTCAGAGGTATGTAGAAACCATCACAACTTGAACAGAGAGTGTATGTTAGTCAGTCAGCAATCTTGTCGGTCTGCCTCAGTTCCGGGTGGATGGGCCGCATCACTGTGAGGATGAACAATTGTACAATGTGCTGAGTGATTGTACGTCACTGTGTGGATGAACAATTGTAGAATGTGGTGAGTGATTGTATGTCACTGTGTGGATGAACAATTGTAGAATGTGCTGAGTGATTGTACGTCACTGTGTGGATGAACAATTGTAGAATGTGCTGAGTGATTGTACGTCACTGTGTGGATGAACACTTGTAGAATGTGGTGAGTGATTGTAAGTCACTGTGTGGATGAACAATTGTAGAATGTGCTGAGTGATTGTACGTCACTGTGTGGATGAACAATTGTAGAATGTGGTGAGTGATTGTATGTCACTGTGTGGATGAACAATTGTAGAATGTGGTGAGTGATTGTACGTCCCTGTGTGGATGAACAATTCTAGAATGTGCTGACTGATTGTACGTCACTATGTAGATGAACAATTGGAGAATGGTAATAGGGATTTTACCTCACTGTGTGGATAAACAA